TGCTGTGCAGAGAGGGCTGGCCAGAGAAGGCCTAGGTGGAAAGTTAGCAGAGGCATAGGGTAGACAGGACCAATTAGCGGGGCTGAGCTGTGGGCCAGAGAACTGGGCTAGAGAGAAGGCCAAAGAATGCAGCCAGAAGAGTGTGGTGAGGAATAGTTGTGGGAGGTCAGGGTGTGGTTAGGGAGAGGCAAAAAGAATGGCAGCCCTTTGATGTAGACCCATGTGTATGTTGTTGTTGTTGTTATGTGCTGTGGAGACAGTTCTGACTCATAGCAACCCTGTACACAGGGTTTCCGAGGCTGTAAATCTTTATGGAAGCAGAAAGCCTCATCTTTCTCCTGCGGAACAGCTGGTAGTTTCGAACAGCTGACCGTAAGGTTCGCAGCCCAATTCATAACCACTACGCTACCAGAGCTCCTTAGACCCGTGTGTATACATGTGCATAAACCCGGGAGCCAGACAGTAGGGTAGTTAGAAGCCGCTGAGTCCAACAGCCTACCTGGTGTATTTATAACCTCTTCTCTTCAACAACCTGGTCATTGGAAGCTTCTGGGAAGGGGTAGCAATCCTATTTCTTCTCATTTATTCATATGCCAGGCCCTGGCAATACAGTGATAAACAAAAGCACCTCAGCTCTCATGGTGCTTACGTTCCAGAGGGAAGACATGCAATACACACGAATAAACAGATAATTCGCAAGGCAGGAAGTGATGAGTGCTGTGGAGAAAAACAGAACTCTATTCTCTCTTTTCTTGTCATAGCCTGCAAGTATTAGAAAAAGAGCCATTTCTAAAGTCTTCTCAACACCAGGCTGCTAAATACCTCAAACTCCTTCAACTGCTCTTTCTGAGTCAAGGGTCCAAGTCTGTTTATCATCCTGGTTGCTCTCCCCTGGGCACAAGCCACCAGCAGTGGTCAGGCCTGGCCATATGTCACAAGAGTCCCGGAGACCCAGCCCTGGTTCCTAATTTCTAGGGGTTTCCATGGGCACAGTGGGCTTTCCCACCTCTGTTCTTGACAACAACTCTACGCTCCTGACTCATGCACAGCCCACGGGTCATGAAGATCTCCAAGTCTTTTTTTCATTATCTACTGCTAGACTACATCTCTCCCAATTGATTTTTAAACCAAAGTGCCAGAATTCATATTTATCCTCGAGTTTTATCTGTCTTGAAGCAGATTATCGTACTAGTCTGTGACTGGTCTTCTAGGGGTCTTCTGGGTTCCTGATATGGCAGCTCAGTTACCTCTGAAAGCCCATTCCTTCTATCTTCTTGGCCTCCTCCACATCATCAGTAAAAATGGTGTGACGGGCAGAGCTCCAGACAACCTCTAAGGCAGTCACAGAGGGCCTCCTTCCAACTGTATGTGGCTGCTGAAAGGGTCACGAAACCCTCCAAACGCATTTCTCCATTTTGTCCAAAGGGGTGAGGATGTGGGCTCCAGGACAGGAACATAGTGCCCAAGAAGTCTTCATATTCTAGAGGTCACTCTTTAAATTTTCTTGAAATGCTGCAGACCACAATCGCCTAGGCAACTTTCAAAGAAACAAATTCCAGGCTCCCTCTCCAGTGTTTGTGATCCAGCCCAGTCAGTCCCGGATGGAGCTGTGTTGTTTTTTAAGCTCTGGTGTTATTGAATCCATCCTGGCTTCCAATGACCCCCACTTCCCTTTTTGAGTGCCCACAGGCAATTGCTTCCAGAATTCCATGTCTCTTCGGCTCTCTTCTTCACAGTCAGGGGCACACCCCTTCTGACCAAGATGTCTGGCCCATAACAGGTGCTCAGTTGTGCAACCAATGGTTCAGGGGGTGAGAGAAGCTGCCAGGTACCCCAACTCAGAGACCTTCTCCTGCCCTGGCCTTCCATCCTATCCTCCCAGCATGGCTGTCGTGCTCTTTGCTTCTGTGAGGTTGAGAAGACAGGGCAGAAGGGGAAGCAGTGGGGCTGCATTCTCTTAGGTTCTACTTCAGGGACAAGACTAGGGTGAGGGTAGCAAGACAGTCACCTCAGGCACAGCATTGAAGTGGACTCCAAAACACTCAGGAACCTAGATCAATAACATTTGAATGTAATACTTTTCAAAGTTAAAATTAGTGCCAATATTGCTGCAATTTGACTACTAGACTTTTGCCTCTGAATGTAGTGACTCAAAATTCCAATTGGAATGGAAGGATTCTTCATATCAAGGAAGAAGCATGTTTCCTCCATGTACTGGGTTGGTAGGGGCAAGAAATTTAGACATTGGCTATCAAAAATGGTGGGGGGGGGTCTTTAAAAGCATGAAGTGGCTGGCTTTTATGAGACTGCTAAGTTTCAGAATGAGGGCGGTAAGGTAGAATCCCCACTGAATAGTTTACCTCTTTCCCAGATGGATCTGGTGAAAGGGGATGGGGGACAATGGTGGTATGACTTTATAACTCAATTGTGAATAATTGCTAGCAGAATTAATTGCAATTGTCATAACTGTAATTGTAGAAGATGAGTAACTAAAAGGGGAGAGTAAGTAGTTCATCTTTCATTTCAGGAACAGACAATCCCAGAACCATCAAGAAGGAAGAGCATGAGGGGCCTACCTAGAAAAGCAGTAACAGTAAAGACAGTGGCAGAGACGGTCACATGGAGAGACAGAGCAGTTGTGGGCTCTAGGCCTCAGAGAAAGGCTGTGTTCCTGTCGGCAGGAGGCTGGCTGGCACAATGTGCCCTTTGGACATTTAAATGAATATATATTTTTTTGTTTTGTAAGTATACAGCAAATATTTTTGCCGTGTTCATTTGTAAATGGGGAGTCACAGGAAGGAAGTAGAATAAATGTTACAGGGATTGGACTGTAATCATTCAGATGAAACAAAGTATATAATTTGCTGAATGTAAGGCTGATGATCTTGTCTGTAAAACTTCACTGAATTCACAGTAAAAAGCTAAAAAAAAAAAGCCTATATAAAATCCAACCATTCTACAGCAAGAATCATTCCCAGCCCCTCCACACACAGAGTAGACAGGGATGGGCAACTTGGACATTGGCTACCCAAAATGGGGGGGTGGGGGCTACAAAGGCAGGAAGTGACTGGCTTACAAGCTTTCAAGAGGGAACCTAGAGCCGGGGGCATGGAGGAAGGCAGAATCTCCAGTGAGTAGTATCCAATCTGCCTAAGCAGAGCTGATGAAATGAAATGCAGATGGGTCTCTTGTGATACAATAGTGAATAATTGTTATCAGGACTGATTGTGAAGGTTGGAAATGTAAAGGTAGACGTTTTAAAGGAAGGGAGGGAATAACTTTCCAGTCTAGGAGCGGAGGTCCCTAGGACCATCAACGGAGAAAAGCCAAGAGCGGGACCCTACCCAGAGAAGCAGTGATGCCTGAGATGGAGGCAAAGACAATGACGTGGAGAGACGGAGCAGCTGGGGACTTTAGACCAGAGAGGCAGAGCGACTGTGTGCTGAAGACTGGGCCGGGGGGTGGGGGTGGGGAGGTTAGTGTAGGGGACAGGCTTGCAGGGTATACCCTTTGGTTGGTTGATGATGCATGGAGGGGATTGTAACCACAGCAATGATACGATGTACGATACAATGAATGTAAAACTAATGTTCTCCCATGTAAACTATCATATAATTCACAATAAAACACCAAAAAAATCCAACCATTCCCACACATACAAAAAAATTATTAGTGACAAAATATCCACAATGAGCAAAATAGCGAATTTTTAAAATTGTAGTGCTGTGTCAAGCCACATTGGCATTTGAGGTAAAAGAAAACACCAGTACTAAGGCCTAATCCTTTTCTTCAACTTCCCACTCCTCCCCGTCTAACCCGTCCAGGTCCTCCACATTGCACAGCCTTCCTGACTCTTCTTTCGGGACCAAGCTTCTTAAGCAATCTGCATGTATTTCTTAATTTAAAAAATTGTTATTCAAATATAGAACAAAGAAATGCATACTGAGAAGCACACTCCCTTGGTGGTTTCCCAGCTTCTCCTGGTTTCCCAGTTTTCCTGTGTCTCGTGAATCCACCCTTCTCGATGCCTGCCTACACACAAAGCCATGCGTACACTCACACCCATCACCAAAACCTGTTGTCATCAAGTCGATTCTAACTCATGGCAATGCCCTGCGTTTGGAACTGCTCCAAAATGTTACAGAAGTACATCACCAGGCCTCTTCTGTGTCATTGCTAGATGGGTTCAGACCACCCACCTATAGGTGAGCAGTTGAATGCAAATGGTTTGAGCTACCCAGAGACTCTACATTCATCATAGACCCTCCCAAACAGTCCACCGTGACAGACACACAGAGGCAAAGGTGCAGAACACACAAAACCCTCAGACACACATGCAAACATACCCTCACTGACACGCACACACACACACACACACTCGGAAACACACAATGACAGAGTCCCCACAGACACACAGATGACTGTCAGCCTCCCAGAAAGCAAAGACCCTGTCCTCTCTGCACCCCCACCCAGAACTGCCCCAAGGCAGATGGGAGTTCTCTCCTCCAGCTTCACCCTAGCTAACTTTTCTCTTCATACCCCATTCCGCCCTTCTCTTAGGTTGAGCAGCCTATACCTTTGCAGCCAAAGACCCTCTTGGGCTTCACAGATTACAGATAGGGCAGATGCAATAGGAGTGGGGCCAGAGCTGGCAATTGGGGATGGAACTAACAACGTCCCCTCCGCTTTTAGTCGAAACTCAAGGAAGTGGAAAGTCCAGAGCTCCGCTTTCAGCTCTGCCATGACAATACTGTGTATCCTTGAGCAAGTCACTTCAATTTTCTGGGTCAGGAGGAGGTAGGCAGCCTAGGGAGCTCTGCCATGCTCTGATTGTCTGACCAGGCCCTGCTTCCCATCCTCTCCCCTGGAATCCCTTCTCCACTCTGACTACTGGAGCCAATCCCAAGGATTTGTGATTTGCAGGTCTGACAAGCACATGACCCATGGGAGAGCCCTGCACCCCTGCCTTCCCTCTCCCTCCATGTTCCTGAAGGACTCACCACCACCCTGGTCCCATTATCTGGCAGTGTGTCGATGGCCAGGGTGCCCCCGACCAGGTCCTGGCTCAGCTGGGTCCTGTCTGGTTCCAACACCAGTCCAGGGGTCTCCCGGACTCTCCGCCTCCAGCCTTGCATGGTCCTCATGGTGGCCCATCCAGAGCCTCGGCTTGCATCCTGACCTGGGGTAGAGGACAGAAAACTGAGTCCCAGCAGTCCAGAGTGAAGGTCCAGAAGGTTAAAAAAAAAAGCCCACTTACTCTGCATAAATCCCAACAGCATGCCACCATGGACATTTAGGATGCCTAACTGCGCCAGACTGCAAAGCAGTTTGAACTGCAAGGTCGGTGGTTCAAACTCACCAGCTGCTCCTCGGAAACCCTTTACAGGGTCTCTGTGTGGCAAAACCGACTCAATGGCACTTCACAACGAGAATAATAATAACAAATACGTGGAGCTATGTGCCCAGCTCCATGCCAAGCACTTTGCATGCACAACAATTTTAATCATCACAACATCCTTCTGGATAGATATCATTGTCCCCATTTTGCAGACAAGGAAACAGAGGCTCACAGATGTTAAAGAAGATCACACACAGCTGGTAAAGGATGGAGAAAATGGTCAAGTCCAGATTGATCTGCCTTTGGTGGTGTGCCGTGGAATCAGTTCCAACTCTTAGCGACTCTGTATAGGCCGTAAATCAGCAGAAAACTTCATCCTTCTCCCACAGAACAGCTGGTAGTTTTGAACTGTTGACCTTGAGATTAACAGCCTGACTCATAACCACTACACCTTGTGGTGCTGTGAGTTAATGCGCTGGACTGCAAAGTTGGTTTGAACCACAAGGTCGGCTCCTCGGAAACCCTATACAGGGTCGCTATGGGTTGGAACCAACTCAATGGCCCTTAACAATAACAAGTTTCAACCTCAGCTGCACACTGGAACCACCTGGAAAGCTTTAAAAATTCCAGTTATCTGGTTCCACTCTAGAGCTTCTGATGTATCTGATCAGTGGTATGACCTGGACATTAGGATTCTTAAAGGCTCCCCAGTGGAGATTCTGAGAAACCCTGAAGGTAGAGAGCATTGCAGACAAAGGTGAGAACCACTGCCCCAGAACCTTCCAAAGCAGTTACTTATCTCTCTGCCAGAAATAGCACATAATTCCATCTTCCAGAGGCCTCGGGGAACTAGAAGCCAAAAAGTAGAGCTCTTTCAGTCTAGGGTTTCTCATTGTCAGAGTTTTTGAGATTTGGGGCTGGATCGATCATTTGTGGTGGGGGCTATCCTGTGCATTATAAAATGCTTCACAGCATTCCTGGCTTCTAAACATTACATACCAGTAGCATCCACCTCCCAGATTGTCACAATTGAAGATGACTCCAGATGTTGCCAAATGTCTCCTGGGGGACAACATCATCACTCTCCTGCCCTATGGAGAGCCACTGTATTTTAATTCTTTCACGGTCCATCTTTAAACACCGTAGGCAACTCATCACCAAGGATGATAAATATGTTTCATCTTGCAGGGTATACAATAAGGTTTATAATTTGACCCCCAGTTCCTCAGAGCTAACCTCTAAACTCTTGGAATTTCCTCAGTCCTTTGAGTCTTTCTTATGATGACTGCACACCACACTTCAGGGTTGATGTAAATGAAATGGCTCTTTTTTGGGGGGGTGGCTGATCATGCTGGCCACAAAGATGTTCCACATGATGCCAGCCCAATTTGAGGGAGGAGGGTTGGAGACTCAGTTCAACTACTTGATCAATGAATGATTCAGTCAATCCTGACTATATAATTGTTGGTTATTGTTGTTAAGTGACGTCGAGTCAGTTCCGACCCATAGCGACCCTGCACAGGGTTTCCGAGGCTGTAAATCTTTACGGCAGCTGAAAGCCTCATCTTTCTTCCGCGGAGCAGCTGGTAGTTTCGAACTGCTGACCTTGCGGTTCACAGCCCACTTCATAACCGCAACGCTACCAGAGCTCCTTTAATTGTTGGTAGGTGGGTGCCGTCAAGTCGATTTCAACTCTTGGGGATTCTGTGTAACAAAGGTTAACTCCTGATCCACCAGGCTTTCTTGTCTAAATAATGTTGTTAAGTGCCATCAAGTCAGTTCCAACTCATAGTGACCCTATCTAGGGTTTCCAAGAAGAGACTGGTGGGCTAGAGTCACTGGCCTTACGGTTGGTAGTCCAGTACCTCACTAAAAGCTCTGGATACTGAAGCTTTGTAAATTTCCGAGTAGGTAAAGACAAACAAGATGGCAGCTCCATACAAAGCACCTTCTTGATACATCTTACAGAGCTCACTCTATGGTTCTCTTACTTTGTATCCTTTTTGCTGTGATAAAGCTGTAATCTTTAACATAGTACTTTCTCAAATTCTGTGACTCACTTTACTGGATTAGGTCAGCAGTTCAAACCCACCAGCCTCTCCTTGGAAACCCTTGACAGGGTCGCTGTGAGTTGCCATGGACTTGACGGCATTTAACAATAATAACAACACACAGCAATAAGCACTGGACTGCTAAACTGTAAGAGATACAATTCAAATCCGCCAGTCGTTCCTCAGAAACCCTATACGCGAGGCCACTATGAGTCAGACCCAACTTGCACAGCACTTAACCACAACAACAACAAAGGGGTGATGATGGAGCCGTGGTGGTGCAACAGTTAAGCACTCAACTGCGAAATGAAAGGTGGGCATTTCAGACCACTCAGCAAGCAGCTCCACAGGAGAAAGACCTAGCAATCTGTTTCTGTCAATACTACTCTTGGTATGTAAATTCCATCGAATCCGTTTCAACTCACAGCGACCCTGTGTAGCATTTCCAAGGAGAAGCTGATGGGTTTGAACTGCCCACCTTGCAGTTAGCGATCCAGTGCTTATCCTACAGCATTACTCCTAGGAAATCCTATCAGGCAGTTCTACTCTGTTTTCTGGGATCAGTATAAGTCAAAATTTACTGCACAGACAGCACCTAACAACAACAGAAGGAGATGAAACCCCCCAAATTGGTATCCAGCAGGTCAGAAGTGAAAGTGTGTGGGGCTCCAAGCTGCTTCTTAGAAACCCTACACAGGGTCACTATGAGTTAGAACCAACTTGTTGGCACTTAACAACAAGGGGTGACTAAGGAGCCCTGATGATCAGCAGTTCAGCACTCCGCTGCTTCTGGAGGACTCTGCCCTTTCATTTGAGGCATCTAATCCATCTCTGGGGGTAGGATCAGAGGAAGAAGTGCTGCGTTTGCCATTGGTGTCAGAGAAGATACTGAGATTTCGAGCTGGAGTTTGCTTTAGTGAAGACAGAGAGAAACAGGCACCCACTATACATCCCAAATGCCATCTTCAACCAACTAATGACAACAAGGCACTTTAGCTGAGAATTTAGAGGCTCCATTTGTATTCATTCAGCAGGAAAGATTGTCATGATTGATTAGCAATATCTACCAAGTTGGAAAATGGCCACACATAGGCCATTGAGTAGCCTTTCCTAGACTTGTTCTCTCCAGATCATTACTCTTAACCTAAATGACACAAAAACCATCCTTCTCTATTTCAGGAAGATTTGTGACCCTTTACATGTCTTGCATTGTCACTCCAATAACATCCAAGATCATCTACCTACCATGGACACAGCAGAGTTTCGTTGTGTTGTGCAGAGGGTTGCTATGAGTCGGTACCAACTCAATGGCACCTAACAACAACAACAACCATGGGACACGGGAGTTCTGGTGTGGCATTGCAGGTTAATGCGCTGGCCTGCAAGGTCAGTTTCACAGGCACTTAACAACAACAACAACCATGGGACACGGGAGTTCTGGTGTGGCATTGCAGGTTAATGCGCTGGCCTGCAAGGTCAGTTTCACAGGCACTTAACAACAACAACAACCATGAGGTGGATCTGATGGTCTCTCTCTGTGGCCTTTGGTCTCAGGCCTACACTTGTGTCAATCACTCCTGTCCACCCCTCTCTCACTCCCCAGAGCTCCTGGATATGGTTCTCTCCCTCCCAGAGCACCCACTGGCATTCTGACTCTTCCAGTTGCCTCAGCAGACTGAGTTCCCAGGTCTCTTTTCTCTCCACCTTCTTCAAATGCTCATCAGCAATAAGTGCTCAATCATTGCATGACTGAGAGCACAATACTGGGGGTAACTCTACGGAGCCAGCAAGGGCAGAGGTGGAAACAAGGCATGACCAAGACCAGACCTGGGGTTGGGGCCAGGACTCTACTGTGGGGCCCTGGTTTGTCATTAGACATTTTATCCAATTAAGTCATTCTTGGCTGCTGGAGGCTGCTGGGCCCTTGCCTACCCCCTCTTACTTCTCCACCTCTAATCACAACCAGATGCTCCTAGAAAGTGTGGAGAGAGAGATGGTCCCCAGGCCCCTTCCCCATGACACCCATTTGGTGCCCACAGAGGAACCTGAGCCAGTGCTGGGAAGGCAGCATGCCTACTACCCAGACCCCAAGCCAGGGCTGTTAGGCCCTCTCTGGTGGGGCCCACAGCTGTCTGTGGAGATAGAACTGTTTGTGCTAGGCTGGTCTGCCAGGCTTTCCAGGTCTTCCTGCAAGCAGCCCTCGGGCCTGGGTAAGGAACCAGGGCAGGGAGAAAGTCTGTGTAGAACCAGTGGAGAAGTTCAACCAGTCCAGAGGGGGTTGTTGGGGGTTTACAGGAATCACCCAAACTAGAATTGAGATAGTGAGATACCTGGATGGTGGAGGCCTGGGGAACCCAGTCTTAGGTGGGGTCAGGGCAGAGGTGGAGATACCTGTGCTGACCTCTCAGTTCTGCCACCCACAAGCTGTGCAACCTTGAGCCCATCAGTTGAGCTAGAGAGCCTCAGTTTCCTCATCACTAAAATGGGTGTGATATTCATGCCTATGGCACAGGCTGCCATGAGTATCAAGAAAGAAACATGAATTTTGTTTGATAAACAGAAGAGGGCTCTAGGTCAGGGGCAGAGGCAAAGAGTTCATGAAAGAGGGTGGGGCAAGAGCCAGGAGAGAGAGGTTGTTGAGGAACCCTACCCTGGCCCAGCCCTGAGCCTCACCCTCCCAATCCATACCACATCTGTCCCCTACCACCTTTCCCTTTCGCAGCTGGCTGGGCCAAGACATCACCCCCACAACTTGTGAAAGGAGCCAACACAGCTGGCCGTTCACGTGTG